GTGGAGCCGGTCAGAATAAAGTACAAGGAGCAAAATAAAGTTTTCTCAGAGAAGTAGTTGAAGGTAGATCATGCAAAGCTAATGAATGAAAAAGCAACATCAAATCAAATATATCCTTACAAGCATTCACTGTTCGATGTGAGACTCCTCCATCCATGCTCTGCATCTTCCATGTAGTGGTTTGAATAGGTACGGCCCCCATAGACTCATGTGCGTGAATGCTTGGCCCACAGAGACTATCGGGGGTGTGGCCTTGTTGGAGGAAGTGCGTCACTGTGGAGGCGGGCTTTGAGGTATCATATATGCTCAAGCCATGCCCAGTGTGGATACAGACTCCATCTGCTGCCTGCTGATCAAGGTGTAGAACTCTCAGCTCTTTCTCCAGCACCATGTCTGCCTGCATGCCACCCGCCATGATGATAATGGACTAAACCTCTGAACTGTAAGCCAGCCCCAATTAAATGTTTTCCTTTGTAAAAGCAGTTGTGGTCATGGTGTCTCTTCACAGCAATAGAAACCCTAAGACATTTCATATAATAGAAAGAATGACCTAGTTACATTATAAAATGTGTAAAATCTGTCCATAGGACAGACATGCAAGGGAGTCTTGGGGGAGCTGCCATTTTTTTTTTTCATATCATTGTCACACCAGAAAGAGATCCTTCTAGGATGCAACATCTTACAGAGCATTCCTGCCACCTTGTGAATGGGTCTGCAGAAGAAAGGCCGAGAACTATCACACTGTCACAGCTACAACTAATTTAAGATCCTACGTAAGAAGCAATAATATTTTACATTATAATAAGCCAAAACGAAAATGGGATTAGAATGAGTTCATCAATTTACTCACAAACCTTCCATAATAGGGCAATTATGAAGTACCTCATAATGTGTTTTGGCTACAAATCTATTTAATGGTAAAGAAATCTGGGCCAAGCACATGAGGAAGTTTTAAATGCCTCCTCCTTGACATTGGGAAAAGGAGTTTGGCAACGAGAAGGTAGAGACTAGTGTTGTAATTTTGGATTTTATGCCCAGATGAGAAGCCAACTCTTAGTGACCCAAATCATTTGCGTAGTCCGTCAGCTCCTTATGCCTGCCTCTACATATGGAGTGAGATACCATCTATCTTTCAGGGTACTGGGCAAAGGTATGTTTTGGGCTTGGTGTTTTATAATCCTGTAGGGCAAGCAGGGACATGCTTAGAGCACTAACTAGCAGGCAAAACACCTTTGCCTTTAAATCCCAAGTTGTTTCTGCCAGTACGATGGCAGGTGCCAATGTGATGGCAGGTGCCAGTGAGCAAAAGCAAACAGACCTGAGTGGTGGTGGCAGCCTCGCCAGCCTCGCCAGGAGTGTTCCTGCAAGTAGCACCATGGAACTCTTGGATGCCAAGCAAGGCTAAATTCAGCCTCTCTCCTGACACTGCACCATCCATCACAGAGCTAATGGGGGAAGGAAGTTTAAGGACTTGTAACTGAAGCCTGTTTTCGGTAATGAAGGCTGCAAAGATCTGAAGATACCCTAAGCATTTTGGTCTTTTCATCTCAGAGAGACCTACTTAGACTCAAAGAGAGATGGCTTTCATGATGTTGGGGGAGAAACTAGTGATGCATTAAAAGCCACACACTCCCATTTCCCTTCTCCTGCTGCCTCTGCTGCTGCTGCTGTTCCTGCCAACACATCCACTCCTCACCCCCACCGAGGGCCCCTGCTGCCTGTTCTCCATCCACTGCCACCTCCAGCGGGACTCATGGCTCCATAGCACCTGCTTCATGTGGCTCTCCCAGCAACCTCCACCTGCCTCTAAACAACTCTGGGGGGACCTGGACGAGCTAGGGATGTGCTTACAACATGGGTGATATTCTGGTGGTCCCTTGAGTAGATATGGGACCCCAGTAATCAAGGGACTAAATGAGTGACATAGGGATGTCTTTCACAAGTCTGGGTTGATTTGTTTTTCTGAAATTGTGTCTTTACACTCAGTGTTTCATTTACAGTATCACCTCTTTGCTGGGGGGGGGGGATTAGCTAGAGTAGAGTAGCTAGGAGGAGTCTTGGAGCAGGATTTAAAAGGGAGTCCTTTATGTACGCCCAGATAGAAGACATCCAGTAGTGAGGGGCTTAGAAACCTTAGTGCCCAACTGATAAATTGTGCCTCCCACTTGATAGCCCACCTTCCTACCCAACCACGGCTGGGCTCAATCTTATAGTAAGCTCCAGCAGTGAGTACTGATAAAGAACATAGTTCTCAATGACTGTTTATCCAGGTTGATGGAATGTGCTTGACCCTAAATATTTTTTTTTTGCAGCAATACAGGGAAATCATGTTGTTCAGAAAACAAAAGAATAGGCTTAAATTACAGAAGAAGATATTTGGATAGTGTGATGGTTAGTTTTTTGGTTTTGTGGTTTTTGGTTTTTTTTTTTTGTCAACTTGACATAGGACATAGGCAGGGTGATCAGGGAAGAGGCAACGGAGGAAATGCCTCCATCAAAATGTCCTCTAGGTAAGTCTGTCTATCATTTTCTTCCACCCCACTGTGAGAGAGGTTGCCTCTCCTGAGCAGCAAACTAACTGGCCCTGGGTTGTAAAAGGAAGCAAGATGAGCGAGCCATGGAGAGCAAGCTGGTAAATAGCATTCCCCTGCTTCAGTTCTTGTCCCAACGTCCCTTCATGATGGACTGTGGAAGGGATGTGTAAGCCAAATAAGCCATTTCCTCCACAAGTAGCCTTTGGTCAAGTGTTTATCACAGCAACAGAAAGCTAACCAGGACAGTGGGTAAAGGGACTCTCTTTATGGGACAGGAGAGAATATTGAATATATGGTAGAACTTCCTTCATTTTAATGTTAAATGCAGCCTCTACATTGGGAATGTAGGAGTGGATGAGATTCACAGACCGTGGTCTATTTGGCTGATGATCTCAATCAAAGTATCCGTCCATGTGAGGTCACAGTGACTAGTGCCCTGGGGATTTGACCTGGTGACCAAAATGTCTGAATCCTGGCCTTATGGAAAATGGCCTTGATTGCCTGAAAAATTCAGAGGGAGATTTCTGAATGAATCCAACCAAATCTCTGAGGGTTCTTGCTCTCAGAGTCAATGATCCAGAATGCTGGAAGGCCACTTGGGATGAATACAAACATTCAAAAGTAAGTTGTAGGAATGTTATAATTTCTTGATTATTCTGGCTAGCCTCTTTGGCATCACAAAGAATAATACATTTTAGAAAAATAGAAAAAGTGTGCATGATGGTCTGTCAGGATCAGAATGCTGAAGACAGTATTAGAAAGCTCCATGCACTAAGCCCCGCCCCCTCCACAGGCGGGCTTCTCTTCTAGGAACATGTTAGGTTGGTATAGATAGAACCCAACAAAGCAAATAAAAGGCAGAGTTCTTGCATTCATCAGATCCTTAAACCACGTGTGTTATAATAAAACCAGCTAAGTGATGACTCACAAGGTATTCACCCAAAGGAATTCCAATAGAACTCAGGAGAATATGTAATTAGTCATATATCCTCCTAAGTTATATTTTGAAAGAACAAAGGTTTTGTCACGGTTACTGGTTCCTTTGATAAAAATATATTTATCATAATATTTCAGTATTTTAATCAAAATTACTTTACAGGTGAAAGATTAGAATATAAGTTCTAAGGATACAGTTTAATATAGCAGATTTCCCTACAGATTGAATTATTAGCAAAAATGCATCATTTCTACACAAGATCATGGCTCATAGTGTTTATGAAGAAGTATCTAGAAATGAAATGGAAAAAATGCTGATAGGAAAAGAATGGCAAACAGGAAAACAAAATATCAGTTCTGAAATAGGACGAACTTCCCAGTAATGCCTTCTCTCAAATGCTGCTTACTGTTGACTCGTGAAAAAAATAAACATGAGCCCGGCGGTAAAGTGTTAAAATCTACCATTCACTTACACAGATTCTTTTGGAACTACATTACAACACACTGGCCCGGTACTAACCGTTCATCTTGATAAACACGAACTCCTTAACTTGTGCATAGATTGGACTTCCTAGGCTTGAGTTACAGGCACATGGCTTTAGTTTTTAAAGTAATACTAAGTGCTACCCTGTTCATCTTAACTTGTAAGGGTCATTCACATATAATGATGTCTTGAAAACCATGACTATTCGCCTCCTAAAGCCCTAACATTTCATCTTCTCCACGCAGGTTCTCCAGCCTGAGAGCTTCCTGTTGACTTCCCAGGGCATTTCCTGTGCAAGGCTTTCTCTGTGATACCCGTTCTTGCACTGTGACTCATGACTGGCAAGTGTGTTGGGGTTCGGCATCCAAATCCTACGGCAGTGGGCTCCACAGGTTTTCTTATTTTTTTTTAACCTATAATTCTCATTTCTACAATATTATACAAGTGTTTCTGAGACAAAAACAATCACATTTCTGCATGTCTCATAGAACATAAGGAAATTGTGGGCATAAGGAAAACTCTCAGGAAACACTAGGTGAGCTAATGAAATTATTTTATTCATCAGAGGGAACAGCTCAGAAAAAATAATCAGTCCCCTGTTAGAATACGTGTCTTTCCTAGCACATGAAATATTATTGCCTTCCTCTCCTCTGCATGCTATAAACATGTGTGTGTGTGTGTGTGTGTGTGTGTAACTAGTTCTTTGACAAACTAGAGAATTACATGTTCTTATCTTGACATCATGCCTATGCAATATTGAAGGAATTACTGAATTATTACCATTTAGTGGGTCTGTAAAGTGGTAATCAGGCAAAGAGACTTATTTATTTACTTGTAATAATACAAATCAGTTCTGGTCTGCCAACTGGTCCCCAAATGCTCCTCATACTCAATTTATTATCTTATCCCTAGGACCATATTGCTGTTTTACAAATATGAAAAATTCATCTATTTATGCTCCAAGTGAGGAAAATGACAAGCACATAAGGAAATGAAACCTGTTGACCAGATAATCCAAGGGCTGGTTATTAATTCTAAGTTCTTACCATCACTGTGAAAGCATGCACAGTAGAGCTCTTAGGGGTTGCCTCCTCTGGTCGCTCTTGGTAGATCACGTGGTACTGGAAGATAACGCCATTGGAGGCCTCAGGCTCTGTCCAGTTCAGCAGCACTGAATGAGCACCGGTGGCTTGGGCCCATGGTGCTGAGAGGCCTTGAGGTGGGGCCTCCAAGGTCTGTACTGATGACCACAGGCTGTCCACTGCACCCTTGGAGTTCCAGGCTCTGACTCGGTACTCATACAGTGTAAAAGGCTGCAGGGTGTCGGCATCATCAGTGAACTCAAGAGGGCCTTCCGACCAGACAAAGAGGCAAGTCTCCTCTTCCGTGTCAGCAGGACGTCTGCAAGAGAACCAAGCAAGTCCTGTGACACCTGGACACTTCACAGCAGCTTTAGAGACAGGAAGAGACTGGTGGGTAGGGTCCAGCACTCTTCAGCTTGGCTATCAAGATGAGTGTTTTTTTTTCCTGATAATTTTTCCTTATCAGAAATATGCTACATTTTTCTTTATGTAGTTGATACCTTGTGTGTGTGTGTGTGTGTGTGTGTGTGTGTGTGTGTGTGTGTGTGTGTGTGTTTCTAAAAGTGCATACAGGTCATAGGAAACATATAAATATAAAATATATAAAAAAGGCAACACATTACTGTGATGGTTAATATTGTCAGGGTGACAAGATCTAGGACCACCTAGGAGACAAACCTCTGGGCATGTCTGTGAGGAAACACTTAGCTTGGGTCAGCTGAGCTGGGAAGACCATGTGTGCAAGGGGAACAGCTCAGCAAAGAATGATCAGCATCATGTTAGAATTCATGTGTCCTTTCGAGTGTGTGGAGCATTATTTTATTCCTCCAAGTGAGGAATGGGTGTGTGCACAAGCAGGCTTATCAGGCTCTACCTTTGAACACAGAGCCACAGAAATAGGATACACGATTGCTGGAGGCCGGTGTATTGGGAATTCCATCCCTTCTGTGGTAGGTGGACTGTAGTAGGCTCCAGTGTGGGATGCTCTCACACTCTTCGTGACCTTGGCCCTATGACTCTCTCTGGCTCACAGGCTGGTAACTGATGACTTTGGTGACTGCAAAGCATTTATATAGTGAGGCTGACCTTCCTGTTGCTGTGGGATGTTGGGGATCACTATGTTCAAACACCCTGGCTGTCCTACTGTGGGAGAGCCACTGGCCAGAGAACCCACAGTTCTTCCCAAGGTTTACCTAAAATGATGTACCTTGCATTTGCCTGCAGCACGGTTGGAGATCATTTCTATGTGTTTCTTTTGTGCCACTTATTTTCTCTCCATTTAAAATTTCTATTAATTACAACATAACCCTCAAAGCATGAGACATTCTCATTATTATTATTTTCTTGTACACTTGGTATCATACATCAAGACTCACACATAAACACCATCTTTGACTCAGGAGCAGGAATACAGAGATGAATGAACCTACTGTACACAAAGGAGCAGAGTTGAGTACATGAAACAGAGCTGTATGCAAATGAATGAAAATCACATGGTAAGCACAGAATCAGGAATATGAGCTAGAGTCTTTTAAAGGGCAAAGGGCAAAGGACGATTTCCTTTTTGATGTTTCCTAAAACCTATTACAGTCCAGAATATTCTATCACAGTCTAGAATATTCTCAAATATTCTTTTAACTGCTAGAGAATAAGATTACTCAGTCCTCTTATGGTTGAGATTTTGTTGCTATCAAAACTCAGATCTATGCATTTTCTTCTGGCATTGGATATAATAAGACATTAAACACTGAAGCAAGAGGAAGGGAATTGTCAGTTGTTAAGATGCTCCTAAATATCTGATGTTGAGTTGGGAACAGACTTTTCTCATCCGGGTGTGAAATCACAGCACATATCTGACGCGAGGGGAACTGTGCTTTTTACGTCTCCATATTCCCAGTGTCTAAGCCCATGAAGGTTTCAAGCATTTACTTTTCAAATGAGTGGCTAAGAAGTATGATATATTTTTTCTGCCTTTTGCCTTCATCTTTATCAAGTCTTATATCTTACTGGGGTAGAGAGCTAGGCTGAGGAAGGAGATGGTATGAAGTGGGGCTCCCCTCTTCTAGCTCGGTCTCTAGTGGAGAAGAGAGTGTTGAATAAATCAATATTTTCCAGGCTGTTAGAAGTCTTTAATTAACACCCTCTTTAGACGCTGGGGAACACACATGCTGCCATTTCAGATTAACCGGCCCCATCAAAACTCAAAGGGTGATTAAGACCAAGCAAATGACAGTATCGTTCACAAACAGGAGCAGGGGATGGAGACTCTTCAGTGCTAGGAACCTGGTGCTTCTCCAGCTGAACAATCACTGTGGTGTAAGGAGGAGCCATGGCAAAGCAAGGGAGGCCTCACAGGTCCACCTCCCCGACCAGCAGGCAGCTTCATTATGACCTGCTCCCACGCACGGGCCGCATTCTGTCCTCCATGTAGGTGTGTCGAGTTTGGCCCTGCTGCCTGCTGCATGTCTTTGGTACTGGGAGTAGGATGGAGACGGATCACGTCTGGGAACCCAGGGCTCACAGCCAAGGACTCCCGCCAGCATCCTAAAACTGTATCTGCTAGGATATGATGCAAACCTACCACAATCCTATAGGAAAACTACAGTTTCTATTTTGTCTTACTCCAGACTCGCTATGACAATTCAATTAATTTTTATTAAACATCTTATGAATTACCAAATTGAGATGTAGCCATGGTTTTCATAAAACGGACATAAAAAAACCCACTGCCTGAAGGGGAATTTTATGATCTACACTATTTCAGAGATGCAATATGATGGTCACTTCAAGATGATTCACCAAAACAATGAAAGGATGTAGCCTGGTGAAGTATTTCTTACTATTGATTACTTAATAAATTCATATAAAATAATATGTTGCATCCCAAGTGTGGTGTTAAAAGTCAGGCTCTCTTTGTGTCTGAACACATCCAGAGAAGAGGTTGAGGAAAACACATATTCTTTTCTTAGTTACTGGGCATCAACAGTTCATGGGAATGGTCCTGTTTCTCCAGAAAAGCACGTGTTTATAGATTACATGTTCAGCTCTCTGGACAGCCACACTGCTGTTCACTTCTTAGAGGTTATTTGGACAATTCTATTTCAAAGGTAGGTAATTGAATGCTGCCTGACTATGTGGAGGAAAAAGATAAATATGAATCTGGGAAGTACAGAGTTTTAAAAGCCTCTTGTCCTCATTTTATATATTAAATGTCCTCTAAATATTTTAAATATAGTTATTACATGGCCTAGACATTGAGATCTCCATTTCTGCTTTGTCAAGGAGCTTGATGCTGGGTTCTGTCAACGGTGGGCACCAGAGGGTGACCAGGAAATCACGGTGAAGGGGAACGGACTCTTCCTCCTTGTTTCCTTTAGTAGCGGCTACGGTGAGCATCTTGCCAGCAAGGGATCTCCCATTTTAGAGGAGGATGAAGCTTATTTAATGTGAGAAAACAGATTTACTGTTTCCTCCCCTAAAGATCCAATGCCAGAAACAGCCTCCTAGGAACTGAGACCCAACTACCCAGAGTTTTACCTCTGCATTTTCTGTTTTAATAATTCTGCCCTTGTCCTTTGTTCCTTCGGCCCTTCGGGTGTCACCAACTTTTGTATAACTGCCACTTCCCTGCTATCCTGGAGTTTTCTTCTCATCTCTTCAGTTACTCAATTAACACATGTATCCTGCATGGCTCTTTACATTCGGTTTCCTCTGTTAAAGGTAACTGGGCTTTCTTTTTCTTTCTGATTACAACTTGATTGCTACAGAAAGTGATGATGTCTACAGAAAGAGGGAAATAGGAAAATGAGAGAGAGAGAGAGAGAGAGAGAGAGAGAGAGAGAGAGAGAGAGAGAGAGATGGTGGATTGCATCTGGATTCAGTAGTTACTATTTTGCCTTTACTATTCCATATAACAAGTTGAGTCTAAAAATTAGATGATAATAGATGAACAATAGGAGGATTTAACAGACTCTTCATACCTGTCATTTGAGATAAGCACTATTGTTATTATTTTGTGTCTAATAATTTAGATACTTTTCCTCTACATATAAATGTAAAGAAAAATCAATTCTCTTAAAGAAAAACAGACATAGTAGGCACTTTTTTGTCACCAAGATTCTTTCTTTGTTCTTCAATAAATACCCACAGCTTCCAGCTCTGCCTTCCTATTTCTGCTGCTTTGCATTGAACATAGTACCTCACATGTATCATTTCACTATTTCTTATAAAACTTGCAGAGGTTAATTATCCTTTATGTTCATGAGCCCAATTTTGCATAACTTTACAGGTTCTTGACTCACCCAAGAAACTGTCCCCCCACCACCAGGAGGTGGCAAAAGACACGTCATTTGATCACAGGTCCCAGGATCTTTCCGTGATCACACTGTTTCTATATATTTCTCTAGGTTCAATATTAACACACACACACACACACACACACACACACACACACACACACACACACACACACACACTAAAACCCAAACAAAACAGCACCTAAACTGGTCAGCCTTTCCTGTTAAAGTCTTCCATTAAAAAAGTCAAACATTCAAATGATCTAAGTTTCTTCCATGAGTGGTTTAGACCCTAGCCAAACATGACAGCAGCTTCCACTCTGGCCTTTAGTATTGGGAAATTTTCCTATGAATGTGTGTGTTTCTAAAATGGACTAGATAATGAATTTTGAATAGGTGGCATACCAGATTAATAATTCATTAAATACTGTGGGGAAACTCTTTTCTTTTTGTATTTTTTTTCCAGACAGGCTCTCATTGTGTATCCCTGGTTATCCTAGAACTCACTCTGTAGACCAGGCTGGCCTCAAGCTCAGAGATCTGCCTGCCTCTGCCTCCTAAGTGCTGGGCTTAAAGGCATGTGCCACTATGCCAGGCTGAGAAACTTTTTTAATGGAGACCTGGAATTCTTATCTTACTCTAGCTAACAAAATTCATTCCATTCTTAGAAATAAGAAGAGCCATAGAAGAGTTAAAAGAAGTAATCAATGTGTTGTTTTTTAACATGATCACAAAAAGATTTACTACATGATTATAGACTAATAAACATAAAACCTCCAGTAGAAAAGTATGACAAGTATGATTTTCTTGGGCTGGAGAGATGGCTCAGCCGTTAAAGGCTAGGCTCACAACCAAAAGTATGATTTTCTTAAAAGATTTATTTATATTTATATGTATTGGTGTTTTGCCTGCATGTATGTCTGTGTGAGGGTGGCAAGTCCCCTGGAACTGGAGTTATAGACAGTTGTGAGCTGCCACGTGGGTTCTGGGAATTGAACCTGGGTCCTCTGGAAGAGCAGCCAGTGCTCTTAACCCTTGAGTCATCTCTCCAGCCCCCATGTTTTTTTTTATGTAAGAGAAAACATAACACATTAATGTTAGTATGTTAAAATGACTGGTGTTTACATCTACTCATAGTGATTATGTATGTCTTAGCTAGGTTATATGGAAGCTATAATGAGTTATACAACCTTCTGTAGTGCTGTGGTTAAACACTCTTCCCCATCAGGCACATTTCTTTTAAAATTTCAATCATCACCAAGGTCTTATTCTGGAAGGACCAGTCTTAATAACATTGACATCATGGAACCTCCCATGAATGTTCTAAAAATAGAACTACTCTCTTCTGGTGGTTAGAAGGAGAAAAAGCTCCCCCCCTAGGCTCAGATATTTGAACACTTGGGATCCCCGGTGCTGTCACTGTCTGGGAAGGGTATGGGACCTTAAGCAGGTATACCCTGCAGAAGGGAGTATGTCACTGGAGTGGCTTTGAGAGTTTAGAGTCTCCCCACTCCCAGATCTCTTCCTGCTTTGTCTTGAGGTTAAAGATGTGATCTCTCAGCTTCTTGCTTGTCTCCCGCTGTCACACCTCCCTGGATATTATGGGTTTCCTCCCTGGAACATAAGCTCATAAATCACTTTTGGTTGTGTGTTTTTTTTTTCACAGCAATGACAAATTTTCTGATGAATATTTGTGTGTCTCACATTATGGTGCACATCACACCTTTTGTTTAGTTTACCTTATATAATATAGCAGTGAATCATTAGTAAGAAGAATGAGGGCCTAAGGATCTTCGTGTCCCTTGGTGTGTATATACATATATTCATATATCTAGCTATTTATCCTTTACATCAACGCTCATATCTGTATCTACCTTCTCACACATCTTTGATTTATCAGGCACCTGTCCTCAGTTTTTCCAGCTTATTTATCCATTCTACAGAATCACTTCAGTTTACTTCTTGGAAACAATGATTCATACCTTCTAAATGATCTTAGATTTTATCCTCCAAAGTCTTTCTGAATATCCAGAAGGAAGTTTCATTTTTTTCCACAGTGCTAAAGTGTCTTTGTATGCACTTTTGACTTCTAATGCACATAGACAGTTCAAATATGATTATTCATTTAAAAGGGGAGATTCATGAGACCATAAGCCCTGTGTAATTTCATCTCTATTTATATGGATGCTCCTAGAGGGAGGAGGTAATTTTACTAAGTGTTTTGTCAATTCCTGGGAAAGCAGCTTGGGTGGATTTTGTACATGGAAGTAGTAAGAATTTTACCATTTACAAGGTAAATGATGAAGTAGGTAGACTGAAAAATCTTTATCCAAACCAACCCCTCTTTGAAGAAGATGTGAACATTCAAGCTGGCTTTGCCTGGATCTTGACAATAGACAATTTACAAAACACTAACTTAGACTTCTTCGTTATTTATGAAAATGCTTACAGAAAACTTGCATGTAGTCAAGAAAGCAGCCTAGGTAACTGGAAAGTGAAGGTGGGACATTCATGTGTACAGCCTGTCACTAATAGGTTTTAATGTTTTAAGTGTGGAACACTCCTCACAGACTCGGGTCTTGGGACATTTGACCTCCAATTGGTGGCGCTGTTTTGAGAGGCTGAGGAAGCTTTGGGAAATGGAGCAGAGCTGGCAGAGGTCTTAGGAGCAGGGTTGAGGGCTGTGGGTGGGTTCAGCTTCTGCTTCTTGCCTGTGCTTTCTGCCTCCTGATCCATTGAGACATGCACAAGCCACCTCACGTCCCCACTCCTGTGGATAGATGCCACTTTGTCTACCTTGAGCAATGTCATGCCTTTCCCACCATGAAAATGTGAGCTGAAATAATTCCTTTCTCCTGAGTCGCTTGTGCTGGGTGTTCTGTCCCAGTGATGAGAAAAGTAAGCGACACACGGACTATTCTGTTTTGGTTTTGGGGTCGTAAGCATCTTACCTGCTTATTAAGGGAGGCACTTTTTTTTTTTTTTTTAACGGCATGATATGTAGAAGCAATATTAAAACAATGGAAGAGAATTACAGAGGGGAAAGTAATTTGGTGGATCAGTGAGAATCGCCAGAAGCATTTTCAAAATGAAGTCAGCATGTTGGCTTCCCGTAATTTAATGAGAATATCTGCATAGGCCGAGCCTTGTCTTTGGTTTGAGCCGAACGCATTTCCTTTGGTGATAGAGGGAAGCAGGTGAGTGATGGAGTAGGAATTATATGGCATAACCTCTGCAGACGTACTGCAGGCTTGAGCTGCAGCCGTGTGAGGGGCTCTGCGTAGTCACGGGATGAAAAAGAACTGTGTGTCTACATGCTATTTCTGTCCTTACAAATTTCTGATTTTTTTTCCTGCAGCTATCTAAGAAAAATTTGATATTGTTGTTGTCTAAGCACATTTAAACTTCAGCTGGAATAACTGCCAAGTGATTCATGCCTAGGTAGGTGAATATAACGATTGTATCTGGAGCCCCAGTGCGCCATTTTCATTTCACTTTAAATAAAAAACAAAATGTATCTATGTCAGTCAGTGCCCTTCCACTGTACTCAGAGGTATCAAACAGGCTACAATTATGATGGTGAAGTGATTGTGTCACACTGGGGGAAGGTTTATTGCGTTGGAGTCTGCTAGGCAGTAACACATTCTGTTTCATATTACTCTTTATATCATTGTTTGGCTGTGACTAGAATAATCAAATGCCATCAAATGCTGTCAAATTCAATTTACAGTATTTTTCATTGAAGCGGCCTTTCTGCACTCTATTTCCTGTTTTTCCTTTGCTGGAGCTGCCATGGAATAGTCACTGTAATCATGAGCTTTGTTTACAAAACCAACAGAATGAAGCCACATCCTGCTCTCTAGCAGGTACCTATTCCCCTTCATTCACAACAGGGATTTGATGCACCTTCCTCATGCAATTAGCATTAAGTAATTGAAAGAAGACTATTTCTGGAGGATGGATATCTTAGATTCTACAATAAAGCGCTTAGTGTAAAATGCAAACTCGCACCAGTCATTTTGATACATCCACGTGTATTTGAATCAGAAATATTATTCTTCACATTGATGTTTGCTGAGAAGTTGGCTTGCTCATTTTAAGTAGTGCCATGTACAGAACCAGAAATGCAGCTGCAGTTTTTCCTTTCACATTTTTTTCTTCCTATAGACATGTAGTTGGTCATTGCAGGGTCTGAATGAAAGGGTTCCAATGTCAGTAGTAACTATCACAGAAGGTGCATGCTACATGGACCAAACACAGAACAGTGGGGAGTGCTGGAGAGACGAACAAGGCCCGAGGGCAGTGGGTGAGGCACAGTGGAAGTGTGCTGCACCCACGTGACTGTGTGGATGTGGCTTTTGGAGCGGGATTTCATGTGCAAACTGACCTGCCTGCCACACCTGTGTTTTCTGCCGTACAAGCCAAGCACAGAGGG